CTGCGCCTGAGATCCAACTACGAGCTTTTTAACTGCAACAACTTTAATATACGCTATTGGAGCTGGAATTACCGCGGCTGCTGGCACCAGACTTGCCCTCCAATAGATCCTCGTTAAAGGGTTTAAAGTGTACTCATTCCAATTACGGGGCCTCGAAAGAGTCCCGTATTGTTATTTTTCGTCACTACCTCCCCGTGCCGGGAGTGGGTAAGTTGCGCGCCTGCTGCCTTCCTTGGATGTGGTAGCCGTTTTCTCATGCTCCCTCTCCGGAATCGAACCCTGATTCCCCGTTACCGTTACAAACATGGTAGGCATATCACGTACCATCGACATTTGATAGGGCAGACATTTGAAAGATGCGTCGCCGGCGCGAGGCCATGCGATCAGCACAAAGTTATCCAGAGTCACCAAATGGGACGACGCAACCCCTTGCGAGGCCGCGCCGATTGGTTTTGAACTAATAAAAGCGCTCTTCCCGATAAAGGTCGGAGCTTCGATTGCATGTATTAGCTCTAGAATTGCCACAGTTATCCAAGTAGGATCGTGTCATCTAAGGAACCTCGACTGATTTAATGAGCCATTCGCGGTTTCACCATGGGACAGTGTGAACTTAGACATGCATGGCTTAATCTTTGAGACAAGCATATGACTACTGGCAGGATCAACCAGATAGCTATCGTTTGCGAGACGTTTTTCCACAACACATCGCGGGACGGGAGACAACGCTCTAGCGAGAGAACGGATCCCGGCATTCCCGGATTTTTTCACATCGGACCGCTCACATTTCCCCCTTCACCGTAAACACGGCGTCGCCGGGAAATCTCTCGATTTGCATCGAGCCGACTGCGTTTTGCAGACCCGTCGCCCGTTCCGAGGGCTGGGCCAGTGCGAGACTTTTATCGAGCCACCAATACTGCTTGGTTGCGTTAGCACTGCGCGTCGCCGCTGGCTTCACGCTACGGACACGTACTTTTACCTTCACTGGCGCGACCTGCGCGCCGAGCCCGCATTTTACCGGGAAGCTAGTCGGGAGACTGAGCCACGCACGGTCAGATCGGGCACATGTCGCTGGCTGCGAGGGAGCGCGGATCCTAGCGTCACATAGAGGCTTCACCGACACTCACCTCCACAATAGTAGATACAGACCGTTTTAACCGCCGTATTTCTGCCCATACCTCTAGTGTTAAACCGAAAAATCGGGTACATAGTCTCGGGGAGGACCGGGGTGCCGCCCCATGAGGGGAGCCCGCACGGAGGGCGCCGGGGGTGCCGCGACCCGGGGGGCGGCGCGGGGGTGTCGGGGCGCATCTACGGGGGCTCACTCGCGCGGGGCGCCCACACTTCCGGGGGGCGCCCCAGGTGGGGGTGCCAACTTTGGCGCCCCCGACTAAGGGGCCGCCCCCACTGCGGTTACACGCTTTACGACCACCCACCCGCGTTCCCCACCCCAGGGGGCATGCGAATCACCCGCCAGGGGCGTTCTGGGACCGAGGGCGCCGCTCCGGCACAAGGGGGAGCCAAAACGCCCCGAGTTCCCCCGCGGCCACCTCGACACCTGGGCGGGCGGCGAGGGGTGTCCTGCGATCGGGGTGGGGAGCTCTACCAGAATCACCCGCCAAACTTCACCGGGGGCGTCTCCCGGCGCCCCTGCGCTCGGGTGACGAACAGCGCCCCGGCTATCCCGGGCGCCCTATGGCGTCCACCTTCGATCGGAAGGGTGATCTCGACTCGGGCTGAGGCGGGCCACAACATCCGCGGTCACATCGGAGCCGTCCAGGCTAACGAGGCCCCGGCTCACGGGTAACCCATGGGGGCTGGACCGGGAGTCCGCCGTTAAAGAAGAAAGAAATGTAGTGCAAACCAGAACCAGTTTTTTTTATTTATTTTATAACTCGACTAATAATCGTCACAAAATTATAAACTTGGTACCTACGGATAGCCCTGGGCCCAACCTAATACAGGATGTCCATAACTATGCGCTAATTAAATAATTAATGGGTATTAAGGTCGGTCTTAGTAAATTGCTATATAAAGTCTAAGACCAGAACCAGTATTTTAAATTTATTTTATAACTCGGCTCCTAATTGTCACAAAATTTAAAAATTGGTACCTATGGATAGCCCTCGGCCCTACCTAATACACCGTGTCCATAACAATGTGGTAATTAAATATTTACTGGGCGTTAGGGTCGGTCTTAGTAAATTGCTATATAAAGTCTATATAAAATTTTACGAATTTAAAAAAAAAATTCCTACCGTCAAAAATAGCGACGCCTAGACCACCACACCTGTTCTGACGTTAAATCCTACTTGCACACACGTGTGGGAATAGATTAGATATCATCTAGAGATAGAATTCCTAATTATTTAATTAAAATAGAGACTCTAGATTTAATAGTTGTGTCATAGTTACATTAAGTCGAATTAGCGAAGCGGAGGCGGGAACTAGATTCTAGATCTAACACTTCGATTGCGATGAAAAAAAAATAGCTTTATTTTAAGGCCGACAAGGCAAATACGGTTTAATTAATATTAAAGAAATAAGTCCGAACACCTACCTTAAGCGAATCATCTACACAACACATGACTAGAAATAATACACGTCCACACGAAGAGCGATTGAAACGGTGACTGCAACGGTGAAAACTTGTACGACGGAAACATGGCGCCTAGGTTATGCCTACTTCCGGTCTGATGAAAATTTTTAATTCATTTTAAATTTTGCGCTCTATTTCGTCCGCGCTTGTCCACTTAAACTCTACAGAAAAGATAGTCTATATAAAAAATAATTCCTAGAAGACAATTTTATGAGAGATCACCCACATTTATTTACCCTGCCTGTCTACCTTAGGGTTAGAGTTTGAATTTTTCTAGATTCAAGCCAAATATGCCGTGTCGATTAAACGACGACGTACATAACAGAGCGAAGACAATGAATGGTTCCTTAATTAACTATAATTACGGTCCTAATACAACTACAATTCACCATAGTACTAATATGTATGTGTATTGTTGTTTTGGGAGTTCTGTCATTACATTTTAAATTATAAAAAAAACGGGTTTACGATACACTTCATTACGCCGCCGATCGTGGTTTTAGATTTAAATTTGGTCGGATTCGGTTTATTATTAATTTATATAATACTTTATACATACTTTAATTCATTAAATACATTTATCTATGTATTTATTTCATTAGTTAAGTATTTGTTTAACTAAAAATTATCAATTTAAGGCATAACAATTACAGAAAACGATTGTATTTGAGATAAGTCTTATCGAACCATTAGTAGCTGGGTCGGTTTATTATTAATTTATCTAATACTTTATACATACTTTCACTCATTAATTACATGTATATATGCATTCATTAAATCATTTAAGTATTTATTTCATCAAAAGTATCGATTGAAGGCATAACACTGATAGAAAACGATTGTATTTGAGATAAGTCTTATCGAACCATTTAGTAGCTGGTTCGCGGGTCGGTTTTATTCCTTAACTCTAGATTTAAGTCTATCGTGTTTAATTTCAATTTAATTTATCACAACTTTTAGATTTTGTACTAGATTAAGCTACATTGAAGCTTATTTTTCACTATTTAATCAATAGAGGATATTATATAATATTTTTAAGTCTAATATTACGCAGCCGTTTGTTAAATCTAGTTTTACAACGACGACTCGCGCGATTTCGGTTTGGTTTTAAACTTAAGTTCATTGATTCTTAAAATATATATTCCAGTTAGAATAGAACTGAATACGTACCACATGATGTATACACACGTTTGGGTTATTTATTTATTTTAAATTTAGTTTATTATGACCGATCGTAATTAACTTTGGCGATACCGGGCTGATATGTCTTATCGACCGGAAAACTACTGTCCCTTCGGTCGACTAGTTTGGTCTTAGACGGCATTACCGAGGTTTGAAAACTCTTACACCGTGTTTTTATTTTCACATAGATCCTATATTTTGATACCAGTCATTCGTTTAAGTTTAAATTAGAAAACGTGAAATGTAGTTTATTGGAAACACTAATGTTTTTAATTTTGTACAAAATAAATTTTTATTCGTTTCAGGTAAACGGCGGGATGAGAAAAATCTGCTTTCTACAACACATACATTGGTTAAGAATATAAAGTGAAATATAGTTTGTACAAACACCGTCTCTACTTAGCAGCTTAGCCTCTACGGCAATGCCGCGTCTTACACTGGGCGAGCTTGAGACTGGAAAACTCTCGATCACTCTACGCGGGAATGCCGC